CTCCGTAGACGGGCTCTGGATCTGTTTAACTTTATGCAAATGAAGAGCGACTTTCGGGAGCAACAACCAATACAAGTGAAGTCAGTGGAGCGCATGTGATCCGTCACTCTTCAGTGCTGAGTCTGACTGAGGCAAGTTGAACGAGAAGCTCATTTTAGCAGTCAGAAACTGTCCTATAATTTATGATATATCTCCGTGTACATACAGTGGTATTCACCGTACTGACTCCGTGCCTGAATGGAAACTTTCGGGAACCCAGATAGACCGGAATTTCCCATTTGCTGCAAATAGCCGCGATGGCAAAGAGCACTCACTGTTTCTCGTTCATCTTTAATATTATGCATTTTTTATGTACTAATTCCATTTATATCTAGACTTTTCCTTCCAAAATGTTTGTTTGTAGCGGCAAGAAAACATATTGTCTACAACATAGAGTAACATCCGTGAATGTCACTCACAAACATTACAAGGCAACCAGTGGGAACGCCCTCCAGCGAACTAACCGCCAGCCACTGGCGACCTGCAGCGACAAAGTCGCTTGTAGTGTGAACGCAGCTTAATTCGTACGAATTCGTATGATTTGTCTAAACCCACGTGATGGGTAGGATTAGGGGCGGGGTCAGGAGTAGGTCATTCGTACAAATTCATACGAATTTGGTAACTCATAAAATATGTACGAATTAGCAAAAATCATACGAATTTGTACGAGTGAGGTCGTATGAATTCGTACGAATTAGCCACCTCGTAAAATTCGTACGAATTGCCGTGAGATCAGGTTGGTTTCACTCAGATCACAACGGACACCCTTTCACAGACTGTAAAGACCTGTTTCCACAGTTATTAACATCATAAATCCAACAAAGTATTTTAAATGTTCATTTAAAAAAACAAACTTAATGTACATTTTTAATGCTATACTTTGTGGTTTCTTAACTTTGCATTTAAATAATAGAAAACTGGTTAACGCTGTTGCGTAAGTGTATCTTTCCATCTTCCCAACATAATCAATCTCTCCATATTTTTTCTCTCTTTTGGAAAGTTATAGAAACCCTATTGCATTTTTTTCTTCTTTTGCTATTGGTGAAAATGGGAACTGAAATATATACATTGTAATACTAGAACTTTACCCAACTATGATGACTTCCTCTTCTGAGAACCCTGTAAATGTGAAAAAGGTCCATATGGATAAAAAAAAAAAAAACCCATCTGTCATTTACTACGTCTATATCATCGTGACTTTAACAAACTGGTCTTGTCTGACTAAATTAATCAAGAACCAGGCATAATATGATCCCCAGAGTTTGAGTTTTAATAATAATTCACAATAATTCCAGACTAAGCTCATATTAGAAACCTCTCTTTAAATTATTATTTTAAGCAGAAAGATGGGGTACATCAAATAGCAAAAAATAGCAAAAAGCACTGTTCCATTTTAAGTGCAGATCTGAGAAAGTTTGAGATATTTCAGTTTAAACTGTCAGTCATTTTCCATTTCGGGCTTGAGGGCATAACAAGCAATTTTGTATCCGTTTTCTTTCATGATACTGACTCTTGTATAGCGTACTTGACATGGACGAGTAATGCAATCAGCAGCAACAACAGTTGTCATGGGAACCTCACTCGATCTCAAGAAAGATAATAGTCAGAGAGGTTTCATGTGTTTTGATATACAGGCTATAATGGACAGATAAGAACAAAAATCAGCAGGGACTGACAAATGTTAGTCTAAACAAAAATCATATTTATTAAATTCCCACATGGTGGACATTTTACTATTTAAAAAGTGTGGTCAAATGTACATGTGTGGTATGAGGAAAAATGACTTGCATTTTATGTTGTGCTTTAAAAGATCAGAATAAACCTCAAGAATTTTTGACGAAATTTTCAAGAAAACCTCATTTTTGGATGGAGCCAGCAGCTGTTCTGAACCATGCTGAAATCCAAAGACGACAAGAAAATTGGTTTAATGGTTTCAAAAGTCTCGATTAGCTTGCCTCTTATCTCATCCCAAACTCCCAAACCCAATTCCACAAACATTCTTCTTAACGACTGCATTCATTTTCTGCAAACCTACGAAACGACTCTGCGAGTGCTCATTGATTTAAGATTCATGGTCTGGGTTATCTCCGTCCATCTCATGCCAATAAACACGTCTCTTATTTTCATTCTCTATTTTCCCCTTCACTGAGCTAAACAGACACTGCAATCTTTCCTTTCCATTTGGAAGATTTACATGAGAGTGAGTTGTGATCAATGCATATAAGATTTTACAATTTGCATTCTTTGACGTGATATACCTAAGAATGTATAGGCCTAACTTTTATTTGTGTCAGAAATAATCGCAACATCAAAAACTCTTATATCACTCATATTGAATGCTTAAATTAAGTTTTGATCAAATTAGTATTCGTTCAGTTAAATGTAATTTAGAGATATGGCAGATCCCCTCTGCAGGCTTAAAAAACAGATTTGATTCAGTGTTCAATGATACATTTCTCTTCTTTCCCCAATAGGGGAAACTTAAATCTTATTTATTTGAAAGAGCTTTATAAGCTTTATAAGCTTTATGCACTGCAATGCCAGTAAGTCATTTTTAAAGTTTGTTGGTTTGTTTGGTTACAGCGTAATCATTTTATTTCAAGCAAGTATAAAATGTGTCTGCAGTTTTAAATTAAATTACAGCTCTTTTGTTTTACTCGTATTGTGTTTATTGCCATGAGCAGTGGTTTGTGACAATTGACTTCAGCCTGCCCACTAAATTCTTACTGGAGACCACGAAGAAAACAGAGCAGGTTTAATCCATTTTGTCAACAGACACTTCTCGATTTGTTACAAAATGTCACAGCAGACGTGAATTTGTACTATATATCCATACACATATTTGTGTTATTCTGCAATGTTATTCAATGACAAAGCAACCTTGATTCTCCTTTAGAAATCCTGATGTTTTACTGGACTGAATGATGCTAATATGTACTGAGCAACTACATGAATGGACATCAAAGGCATCGCTTGCAGTTAAATGGCCAGATCATTTCACAGATGATGTTTCTCATTTATAAATAATACAGATCCATTGGAATCTTAATTCCGTACCAAAATGCAGTTTATTTTTAAAGAGCACAATATAAATGAGCACAAAATATTCTATGCATATAGTCAGAGAGTATACTCATTGTCATTTCCCCAGAACAGAGACAGGCACATAATGCAACAAAATATATACTTGCAAAACAAATACATTCCCAACAATGTAAACAGAACTGAATTTCTCACTGCATAACTCATTAATATTCACTGATAATAAAATTGGAATGGTAGTGAAACAGGTATTTTCATGATTTTGATGTAGTATTCATAAGGGTGAAGATTTTCATAAATCATTATTCATAATTATTCATTATACAGATATAAGGATTAGAGATAAATGAACGGGTGACAACAACTTGTTAGCAGATTGGACGAATTAATTTGGCTTTTTTTTAATAAATTGAAAAGGATAACTAAGTTTATGTATAAAACACAAATTCCATTTAAGCTTTTATCTGCCTCCATTTTATATCTGACTCCATTTTATCACGACCTCGAATTTAAGTTAGATTTCCAATTGGTTATTGGTCAATTATATAATAGTTTAGCAATACATTTGATTGTTCTATTTAACTCTTTACTTATATTTTACCCATTCATATTATGAAGCTATGTCGCTCAGAGGTCCTCACGCCTTGTTTAACGTGGGTCTCACGATCATAATCTCGCCAGCTTCGGTCACTAAACAGAGCGCTTACACAATCAAAGATAATTTGGTATAGCCCCCGTGATTGCATACTTGAAATTAAATTAACGTTTACTTCAGTAAACCAGTATGGCCACTACAGATATACTGTAAGTCAACCAACTTTACTTGTCTTATAATACCTTTGGATTGGCCATGCCGTTGTTTCCCACGTACATTTATCTGAAGTAACATTCAATTAAAACAGAGGTAAGACACACCCAGATTTAGGTTGGTCAAGCAGCACTTTTGCTGCCCTAAACGGAAATTCACTTCTTGTCTTTGCAAAAAACACGTACACTTGAATTAGTGCCAAATATTAGTCGTCACTAATCTGACGCAAAACTTGCGGTAACATTCGAATCCGTTTAATCTACTTGGGAAACAATTTCAAAATCAGTCGGAATGTCAGGTAAATGCATCATGCCAATTTCATAATCAGTTCAAAGATAATAAATACAAAACAACAATTGCGGAATAAAGAGAGAAGACGCGAACCTGACATTATAAAATACATGATGCGAAGTGTTTTGCATACACTCAGCATCACAGGCTAATTTGAGTAACAAATCGCCACGAGCCTTCTTCAGCATCTCCCTAAATACTCAGACCAAGGCAGAAACCTCAAATGTAAACATGAGTTAACAGTGGGAATTTGCATTAATCACCGTCCCAGACTTACTGGGGACAGAAGTTGATGTACATGGGGGCACACCCACAGCAGTTAAAAAGATATCAAACTTTCCATACCTTATTACCTTTTTGGTTTACTTCTGTGGGAATGAGACCTTTGTACCAGTCGCACCGAGTCATTTCAAATGATACCAAACATGTACTGTATGATAATTGTTAATTGTTAATACTGTATGATAATTGTTCATATTAAACCATATAGATTTTTGGGTGAATTCAGGTAGGGATGGGTGAAGGGAATGATGTGTAAATTGGCAGGTGATCAACTCAAGTGTGATCGTGTCTCGAATGAGGATGGTAATATAGCAAGAGAGTTCAAATGTTAATTTCCTTTGTTTTCTCAGAGAGTAGCCCTCTCTTCCAGTTCTTCCAGTTTTTACAGTCTAACAAGTGATATGTAAATTACGATTTTCCAATTAATTTTTTTGGATATCAACTAATTGTGCATACAGTACAAAAATATGACTAATTAGTTTGAGTATATATATATATACTTGAAATATATAATAATATATATTTTTTTCTTTTCTTCTTAAGGCTTGCACCTTGGAACCTATTTCAAGGTTTGCGTTCTCGAGGCACCAGGCACTGTTGTTGTGCGGAAGAGCGGCCGGAGCATATTAAGGGTTTTCTGTTAGAACGGTGTCGTGTAAGTGGCCCCTAGTTAATAACTAATGATCTTTGCAACAATATACAATTTTGCTACTATATTGTCATGAAAGCTGAATTTATTTTCAGAGGCTAAACTAAAAAAATGACTCCATTTGACCCCAGACTTATGCTGTCTCCTTCTCAGAAACCGCAGTGAGTTTGAGTCTGTCCTTCTGTTCCTTTTCCACTGCTTCCCTTTTGTCTCTTTCTTCTCCTTCCACATGGCATCCCACCATCAGCTGATACACCATCACACCGAACACAGCACCAATGAATGGGGCAAAGATTGGCACAAAGGACCAGTAAGAGTTTGCACTGGTGAATGAAACATATATCAGTGGTAGAGATGATTTCAATAGTGAAATGGATGGAAAGAAATGTATATAGTAAACCATATGTGACTTACGAGAACACCTCTGAGCCCCATCCAGCAATTGCAGTGAAGATCCGAGGTCCCAAGTCTCTTGCTGGGTTTACAGCATAACCCGAGTTAAAACCCATGGACTGACCAATCACCAGAACCACAAAGCCCACAGTAAAGGCCTCCAGTCCGCGTGGGATGGGGTTATTGTAAGGGTCAACAATGGCAAGGATACACACAATCAGAGCTGCCGTGCCAATCATCTGTGTTGAAAGCAAGGGATAGTTTACTCAATGAAAATTCTGACTTAATTTACTCACCCTCATGTTGTTCCAAAAGTGACTTTCTTTCTTCTGTGTGACACAAAAGATAATATTCTGAAGATTGTTTCAACTGTTTTTGTCCATATACAATGAAAGTCAAGGGGGTCCAAAACAACATTGGACCCCATTCACTTTAATTGTATGGACAAACACTAAGACATTCTTCAAAATATTTTCAACGAATGCTGATTTCTGGGTCTCACCTGATCGAAGAAGCCGTTGAGCAAAGTAAGGTGTTTAGAAGGGTATGTAGCAAAGATTCCAGCTGTTGCATTGTCCCCTACAACGATTAGAGAACCTTGTCCAAAGTCCCAAATCGCATCTGCAAAGCATCAAGTGAGCATAAGTTATAGAAACAGTTATAGAAACTGACAAAAATGTGGATTATTGACTACAAAAATACTTTAACAGTCCTACAACCCACCTATATACATGCCAAATATTATTCCTGAGCCAAGAAAAGCCCCCAGAGTCTGGGCCAGGAAGTACACGGGAAATTTCCTCCAGGGCTCTCTCCCCAACAAACAGAGGGCAAAGGTCACAGTGGGGTTTATGTGGCCTCCTGTAAGATACAAAGTTTCAACATGTCGATCTTACGATACATTTGAAATGAGATCTTCACAGAACACAATGACAATGACACAATGCTATAGTCTCTCACTTTACACTTTTATGGCTGGTTTGCATGCGCTTATTAAGCCTAAACCAGGATTAAACTTCAAAAATTCAACTTAAACATTTTCATAACCTTTCTAGCCATGGGTTTTAGACTTAATCTATGTCTGGGAACTTTGTTTTTCAACTGTCTGCCATTTCCTTCCTTCAAGACTTCACTTAAAGTAAAGACTTCACTTATAGTCCAAAGACTCATTTCTTTTCATTATTCTTCTGTTTAAAATGTTAAAGTCAAAACTGGCAATTGATGTTGTCTGATATTGTCTTGGTTTTTCATCAAAAATGGAACTGGATGTTCCAGGTAGTTCATCCATATGAGTGAACTTTAAACATGAGTCAACCCTTGATGCCACCCAATAATATCTGATTTTTTTTTTCTTTCTAAATGTAGAAAAGAATGTAGTATAATTTTGCCAGTTTGAATCCATCTGGTGAATGTTTGGCTGAAAGCCGTGACGTTTTAATATGTGGTTCTGAGCTGTATGTGACTCACTGCTTTGAAATGTCACATCTGAATTCTGAAATTTCCTGTGTTCTCCCAAAAAAAAAAAAAAAATCTGACAGTTTTAAGAAGCTTATGACCAACGTTACCTGAGACTTGCCCACAAACTAGGATTCCCAACATAGCGGCAAACCCAAATGCAAAATTCACCGTCAGAAACATTCCATGAGAGCCTCCGCTTAAAACCAACTGGGCGACAGCACCACAGCCAAACATCTGTAAATAGAGACATTAAGAATGGAAATCCAATTAACCATTTGCTCGGTTGTTGTCTTTTGTGTGTGACTGCACATCAAACATATGATGGAGAAGCTAAGCTAAATGCCTAACAAAGTTAATTAAGCTATAGATTAGAATAGAATTTCAGCAAATAAACCTCAATATAATGAAAATGACCTGCAAGGTCCGAGCCATCATTGAATGATTGCAAGTTTTAGTTTGACGGATTCCGTTTCGCAGCGTGAGACATCATGGTCTCACATACCTATTTTTCTTCGAGGACTGCTATGGAAGAATGCAAAACGTTATGTGCATCATGTGGATTTGATAGATAATGTGTGTATGAGTATGTGTGTACTTGCCCTCTCTTCCATTGTGTAATGCCCTCTAGCCTGTCTGTGTTTGCCAGCCGTTATTGAGTCGCATGACCAGCCTCTGAATGGGGGGTTTTCAGACCGCACAGTACCATCAGAAAACAACAGATGGGCTTGGGGGAGCTCTATTTTTCTACAGATATTGCTGCTCTGGAGTCTTAGTTTTCAAATGAAAACAGATGATGAGATATGGTTTAACCTGTGATCCCCCTGTGGTGTGTCAGATTTATTCCGGATATGGGCTGTCTTGAATTCTAAATTGTCGACACTGTTGTGCAACTCTTTGTTGCTGTTGCTTACCTGTTAATTGCTTTGTAGTTGCACAAAGTACAACAATACGAGATGTTTGATGATATGAAATATATAATATTATATTGTTCTGTTGAAGTGAAAATTAGTCTCAGTAGCAACAACTTTTCTCTTGAGCTTTAGCAGAAGAGCAACAAATTAACAGCTACAATCGGAGATGTCTGATACTAACAAAACACAATATTTTCTAGTTATTGTTTTGTTTTGTGTTCAGTGGTTTAATTAGACTGGGAATTTAAGGTAAAACGTTATTAATTGTCATGGCCCTGACAATGTGTTGTGACCGACCTGGCTTATTTTTCTCTGAAAAATAAGCTGCAAAAAGTGATCAGTTGACTTTACTTAAAAAAAGTGAGGAAACCCGTTGCCTTAAAATTATTAAGTAACAAACTTCATGCGTAATTGAACAAATTAAGTTATGTGAACTTGACAATTCCACATAACTTAATCTTTTCAATTACGCATGAAGTTTATTTACTTAAATTTTAAGGCAATGGGTTTCCTCACTTTTTTTAAGTTACGTCAACTGATTTTGCTGCTTTTTATTTTTCAGAGCCTGTTTGCTTGAGTTCAAGCAATTTCAGTGATAAATTATCTTAGTTAGCTCGTCCTGATTTTGCTGAGTTAGAGGCGATCATGTGTCAACATATTTTGTTGATGCTGGAACAACATTCCTGTCCTATAATTTTATTTAGCACCTCCAGAGGTGGAGTGGGAATCTAATGGAAATATACTGATCTGCACACCACAGCTGGAAATATTGTTCCAGAATAACTTTTCTCACATTTTTGTTGACCCTGGAACAACATTCCAATCAACCAATCAGATTTGAGGGGCAAGTTGACACTTTATGTCAAGTTTAGGCTTAAAACCAGGGTTAGGTGCATCATTTAATTAATTTTCCTTTGAGTTTAGGGATAACTTACAGGTAGGTTTAGAGGTAGGGATATGGATGTTGATCCAGGAACATGCTGCACTTGGCGAAATCAGGTTCTGCATCATAGTTACATGAACTCAGTTCCCGTGCTCTCATTTCGCTGAAGAATATACCCAGGGCCCAGTTTATTCTAAAGTAATCTGATCGGATTTCGGCTATCGGATAGGATCAAATCTTGAAAATGGGCTGTTCTAAAAAAAAAAAAAATTGATTCTGAAATCGGATTAGATTACAAAATTCAATCTTGGTTTTGATCTGGATCAAATCTTCTGTGTGTATTTTTCAAAACTTTTTTTGTAAGATTAGGATACCTTTGATAAAAAGAAAAACAATTCAGGATTATCCTTATCTCAGAAGAAGGAACTTGAGTTCTTTGCGAATGAACACAAAGTTTCTTGTGAGAGAACACAAAAGCATTAAAATTGATAATTTTTCTCCCATTTCATATTTTTTCCCCATCACCATGTCCCTTTAGTACCTCCATAGGGGTCTAATTGTTTAAAGGAAATTGAAAATGGAAAATGTTTCTTTGTTTGTTTCTTTCTCTTTCAGATAAAACACTTAAAGTGACCCCGCATTGACTCTTCTACCTGTTGTTCGTTGGGTTGGTTCTTTACATAGATAGCAGCCTACATTGTGAAATTCTGATCCAGATTAAACTTTTTGAACAACTGGGCCAGGGTCATGAAATGGCCAACTGTAAAGTGTCTGACACTTGTGTAAAGCAGCTAATTGGCTATCAGCAGGATGGACTTCAACTCCCATTATCATCTCACAGTCAGTTCTGCAAAGGAGACGTTTTGCTACAAAAAGTTACAACATTAAAACTTATTTTAGCTTTGAACATTCATTAAATTCCATGGTTTAATAACCATTATTGTCCAGAGCTGAGAAAAAAAAACAGTAGGAGTATAAAAAAGTAGGATAAAGTATAAGTAAGTATAAAGTTGAACAAATACTTATTATTATTATATTATTATAAAAAGGTGGACAAAAGAGAACATAAAACATCTCTCTGCAAATTATTTGCAAAATGAGGAACTCAGCTGGCAAGTGATAAAGAAGTAAAACTCCCTTCAGGTGTAGCTAAATTGAAATTTCAGGCTTTTCAGCAGATGAAAGATTATTTTTGATGTCGCACATGCATGTATCCTTTCCACGTTCTCATCAAAGATGGACAATAAATCAATCTTTGCATCATTACTGATTGATTTATCGTCCATCTATCAAGCTTGGTGCTTTTTAAATACATAATACACATTTAATACGTATATTTTGAAGTTCAATAAAAAAACAGAAAACTATAGAAAATGTGCTTAGAGTAAACACATAAATGTGTCCAAACCTCAACACCAGCAAATCATATATAGCCACATTCCTGGATGGTAACACTTTTTAATCGTTTACAATCGTTCCTCTCAAAATGAATAAACTGCTTTACAATAAGGATCAAAAACGGACACATGGATTTTTCATAATAGCTGAAATCGATATGTCTCATCACTGACTCATAAATGACAAAAACAACAAAAGTGTCTCACCACTAGAATGAGGGTGCCAAGACATTCTGCCAGTGCCTGTCGCATCAGCAGGTTCCGCACCTGCAAGGCCCGAGCCATCTTTTCCAGAAGCACTTTCTGTCTTCCCATAATGCCTTAGGATAATTTAAAGATGATGAGGATGAAGGGCACTGGGTAAGTGGTCCTGTACAACTTTTCCTACTGAGCGCGGGCCCTATATTTGCTTCTGAAGGTCCCGCCCTCAGTCAATAAAAAAACAAAAGCAGCATTCCTACAACTTTTTTCCCTCCCTCCCTCCCTCCCTCCCTCCCTCCCTCCCTCCCTCCATCCATCCCTCCATCCCTGCCTCTTCCCATCTCACTTACACACATTCTTGTACTTTTTTTATGTCAGACTTTAAAAAACACAAAAACAAATGATTTATAAATGTGTGTGAGGACTGGGATAGAGGGGGTTCTTCTGCGTCAAATATATAATATATGTCTAAATATATGTTTCTTAAATCTGGTTCTGAACGGCCCTCTAGGGTTTGGTACACAAAAACCTATATTGGTTCCACCAGTGTTTTTCCTTCACTGTGTGGATTGTATCTCCATAGCAGGCAATGGCTGGAACCATGATCAGAGTAGTTATGGTTTCCTTACATTTTTTAAACGAATAGTTTAGGTTTGTGGAAATGTATGGGCATTTAACCAGCGGTGAAGTTTTGGCAAGTGTTTGAAACACAGGGCAGATGTTTTGTATTCTAGAAAGTATTTGTGCCACATGATGGTCACAAGCCTGGAGTGTCTGAAATTCTATTTTCATAATAAAGTTAAATAGACTGTGTTTTTATTCTCCCAGAAAGACAATGACTTGTAGCACCATGCAGCTTATAATGAACCTAGCATTATGACATTGTGGATGTTTCTCAAAACACAAGCTCTTATTTTCCTTCCCTATGGTATTTAACCCACTATATCATGTGGTTAATAAATGTTGCCTTATCTGTCTTTCCATAAATGGTGAATAGAACAAGCCCCAATGCTCAAGTCCTTTCCTATGGAATTCCATGAAGGCCTCTATATATGTCTCATGACAGATAATTACTACAAATACATCTTATTTATTGATCCATGCAAGGGTCAAAGGTTTGTCTAGTAACCCCTGCTGGTAGATGCTATAATTACACCTTTCTGGGACATTGATGGCCATTCAAAAGTAGCTGTGTTTTTTTAAAGAATCTTTTCGCAAGCAACTTAAAGGGTAAGGAAAATAAAGGGTAAGGGAAAGGAAATAAAGACATCATCAAAGTAGTCCATGTGACATCAGTGGGTTAGTTAGAATTTTTTGAAGCATCGAAAATACATTTTGGTCCAAAAATAACAAAAACTACGACTTTATTCAGCAATGTATTCTCTTCCGGTTCTGTTGTCAATCCGCGTTCAGTGACGCTGCTGACGTAAGACGCTGCTGATGTGTAATCTGGTGCGCCCGAGCTTCGTTCACAGTCTGAGGGAGACGCACGCTGTAAACAAAACAATCTTCGCACACGTCTAAGGATTTCGACACAGAGGAAGACTTGCATTTTTTTGCCCAGCCATATTTATTTGAACCCGAATACACGGACACACCAGATAAACGTCAGCAGCGTCTTACATCATCAGCGTCACTGCGGATTCGTGAACGGGGATTGACAACAGAACCGGAAGACAATACAATGCTGAATAAAGTCGTAGTTTTTGTTATTTTTTGGCCCAAAATGTATTTTCGATGCTTCAAAAAATTCTAACTAACCCACTGATGTCACATACACTACTTTGATGATGTCTTTATTTCCTTTCTGGACAAGGACAGTATACCGTACATACATTTTCAATGGAGGGACAGAAAACTCTCGGACTAAATCTAAAATATCTTAAACTGTATTCCGAAGATGAACGGAGGTCTTATGGGCTTGGAACGACATGAGGATGAATCGTTAATGACATTATTTTCATTTTTGGGTGAACGAACTAACCCTTTAATAATCAGAAATATTCCATTATAGTATTAGATATGTGCCCAGTGGTGACAAAAGCAACAGTAATTTCGACATGGGGAAGATATGAAGGACTTTGCTGGGAATGTCTGACTCCCAACTCCCTTGATTTATGTGGATTTTAATAATAATTAGGCTATAGAAAAAAATTATGTTTGGACAGTTTTTTTTTGTAAACATAACATGTTTACAAAAAAAGTAATACATAACAGTAATATTGTTACATGTGTAACAATATTACTGTTTTGCAGTATTCCTGATCAAATAATTGCAACATTGAAGAGTAGAGACTCGTTAATTAAAAAAAAAAAAAAATCTTACCGACTCCAAATTGAACGTGTGTGTGTGTCTGTCTGTGTTGGAGTTAGCCTACTTCAGTCATGGGAAGCTAACCAATCAGCTGATTCATGACATCATCAATTTCAACCAATACAGTTACGACGCTCATCAGAGCTGTTTTTAATTAATAAGCTGCTTCCTGATGCAAGGAATGCAAGCAGTTTTAACACTTTCACATGCTATTCATATGAGAATAACGCTATTCATGGAACAGTTATTACATCTTATTTTCACATTACTCACAGTTCACTCACACGCCCCATCCACGTCCGGGGAAGTTAAGTGTAATTTGTTTCATAACTGTCTTTTGTTAATTAATGAAATAATTGTGTTCGTCTTGTGCTCTTGTTTTTCTGTATGCTTGGATGTTTATTGCTTCTGCTAAATTTGGCCTCCTCTGACTGGTCCTTGTCGCTATACTTATATTGCGTACTTTACTGAATTTTATTGTTTTCAAATATTTTTGGAGTTGGTCGGTAAAATGCTGTTGGCATTTTGTTTTTTCTTTCTTTTATACCGTAGGTAAAACCCCTATTTAATATAATGTAAGGGCTCTCTGAATTGTGCATCATTATTTAATCATCATAATAAATTAGTTGTTAGCTTATTGGTTTTATATTTAGTATTAGGGTTATTATTCTGTGTTTGCTACTTCAGGTGACGGTCTGTGACAGCTTTATATAAAGATTTAATGTTATCAAGAGTGTATTGTGTCTTGGGAAATTGCAATGTTATGCACATTATGACACCCATTTATTCAATATGACTGCTATAAAGGCTCTTTTCTTTATGGGGCCCTTGAATAATGAGTATTAAATATGAAGGCTTGTCAATTGTTTTTGGGGCACAATTGAAGTATTTTGGTTTAAAAGCAACATGCTGAAGATGTCAATGAGCTACTAATGGATTGAACTCCCAATATTTTCCAGTATGCTGTCAACACTAACAGAATCACTTCAGATACTTGATGAATTTGACATTTTCTTTTGTTTGCTGATCTCTTTTTAAAATAATGGCTTTCTCATCATTGTATGGAACTAATGGTGGGTTCAGTTAAATGCCTACCCATGAATTGTTCTTTGTGTCAATGTACACATTCAACTATGATCTAATTGGTGTCTGACATTAGAGACCTAGACCTTCCTCTTAAATATCTGGCTAAGATTAGACCTTTAGGAAAAGGACGTGCTCGAAATATATTGGTTTAGCGAGTGTCAGCTGAATACAGAACGTCAATGTTCCACTCAAGAAATACAATAATCTCTTAATGCATTTGCTCTTAAATCAACATTTGTTAGTTTGTAGTCTATGCCCTCCTATAGGGGATAAGCTTCCCTTCTTTTGACTTGCATCCAAGTATATTGATTGGAAAAAAAACTGTTAATGGACATGAAAATTAGGAACACATTGCAACCCTGTTTCTGAACCCCACCAAGAGTGCATTTTGGATCCTTCTGTAATGATGCTGACGCCCTTCTTCAAATTAGCTGATGAGTTGAATCAGTTGTGTTTGATTAAGGAGACATCCAAACTTTTGGGGGGCCTCCAGGAACAGGGTTGGGTCTCACTGTCTTAAAGGAAGAGTTCACCCAAAAATATTCGCTATTCCTTAAATGTGTAAATATGCTATGGCACAAAACGCAAGGTGAAAGTTACAGAAATATATTGCATTAGAGAACTGAAGTGCAGCAAATTAGCTCTGAGATGTGTTAGTAGTTCAAAGATTACAGCGATTATACCTCATCTTTCCCCTCGGGCTGCTCCCGGGACATGCTCGGGAATTAATTCAGCCCATGAAACCATCCATACTGAGGCCTTTGATACTGCACTATGAAAGAACAACCCGACTGACTGAATGTCAATATAATTCTGACAGACTTTTTTTTTAACTGTAGAGGATTAAAGGTGAAATGAAGTGGTATTTAAGGTAACATTTAAATGGTATGGCTATTCGGAAAGTATGGGAACATAATGTGGAGTGTCTTAGAAAAGAACTCGAAGTCACGACCTATCGTAGGATACTTTGAGAATGTTTATTCACACCTACATGGCTCTGTCTCTATAATTTCTTCAGCATTTTATAGACACTAAATGAAAAATGGCTACAAATTTACATTTACAGGCTTCTTTTGCTGTCATAGGCACAGACTTACAGGCACGAGGACACTCAAATGTTTTTTTGATTAAATATTAAAAATGAAATGTTGCATTTTATATCTATCTCGTTCTGCTTTGATGGCAATGAATCTGTTGATTAATCTTTTCTTTTGTTACACATCATATTATGATACAACCTATCCCTGCAGTCAGATTCATCACTGTGGGCTTTGAATACATTCAGTTCTTTCTAATCATGTATTTTGAGGATTATGTTAGAACACAAAAGTCTTTTAAACCTTCCGAAACATAAAAATAAAAATACTAACAGTGGTTTTGACCTAAAGGTTTCTTCACTCATTTTTTAACACAAAAGAAGTATAAAAAAGCTGAACAAGCAGCACCTTCTAAAGTGACTCAGTGTTGGGAAACCGACTGTGAGAAATTTACAAAAATATTTTTATTTGTCCTCTCCATGACGACTCCAGAAGAGTGCTGTGCTTCTAAGACCATCAGTTTCACTAATTAAAAGTGAACTAGGGTCACTATCATGTCCCCTCCTGAGGTGACATATAGTGGTTATTATTATTTATTCATTTTTATTTTGTTTTAATAAGTACATTAGGTTTTAGCATTAAATATCAGAAGATTTTAAATATATTCTGTAGCTGTTAGCA